TCAGTTACTCATTTTTAGCTAGCGGTTGCTCCATAACATTGACTACAGTTGAGGTACTTCTTATATGAGGTTGGCAAATAGCCCTGTGCCAGCAATTATAAATACAGGCGATCATACTTGTATCAGAGTTCTTTATGATAGTTATAAATCTTATCACAGTGGAAAAATGTAAATGCTCAGGAAAAACAAGATTACTACAGAAGCAAAGGCTCCATGCGTGCAAGTCCAAGATTTAAATTTGAGACTGTTCTTGTACCAATCCAGAAATCAGAAACAGCACATCAAGAACTCGTATTTGGGGGTTCGAAAGTTGTTTGCTAACAGAAATTTGACTCCCAAGCCCCTCTTTTACAGCACTGTTTTGGATGTGCCTGTTTTCCTGAATCATCTTTTTCTTTAGATGACCCTCACAGAACATCTGTTTTACTCAATTGATCTTTCTGCATAATAGGCCTTAGGATCATTTTCTGCTCAGAAAAAAGTCAGGTAATTTAACTTGTGTTTTTGCAGTAAATGTCTAAGACTTGCAGGTTTATTTTCCAACCAGTTGTTCCTTAGCATTGGCTATAGTTACTGAGAGCCGACTGGCTCCTGAGTTGAAGAGTCAGAATCTGTCTTGCTCTTCCACTTTAGGGTCTGACTCATCAGATGGGTCTAGGATAACTTGGCATGGCCAGTTCGTCATGGGACAATTCAATGTTGTATTAATCATCTCATTTAGTTACTTTTAATTATTGGTGACTACATTTTCATCAAAATTATTGTAATTCTTGTATTTCTGGATTGACTTTCTTTTATTATTATTGGCCACGGTTTCATTGAAATTAATTTAACTTTTGTATTTCTTGAATTGCCCCACGGCAAGTTGGTTGCGATGAGTTCGCCCATTCTGTCATCATGCAGGCCATTAACAAAATTGCTTTGGCTAGCCAACATCATCCTTCTGTTCTTCAAGTTAGTTGAATTCCAACTCACATAAGCTTCAGTTCCCAAAATTCCCAACTAGCAAGGCAGACCCAATACATCTGAAAGGCATGAGTTTGGAGAAAGGCTGAGCTATATGTTTAATGAATATGCTAAGTGGTTAGTTTTAATAGGCAGTCAGTCATATTTCTCATGTAACATTATGGAATCTAACACCTTTTCGTTGGAACCATAGCTTATATCAAACATTGTCCAAATTTGATTTGTTCATATATGTCTTTTTTTTTTATTGAACTGACATAGTCTTACATTCAAGGTGAAATAAGAAAGTTGATATCCTGGAACAATAATCCTTAATGCAATGAGCTATTTTGAGGATTTGTGCAAAAAATTAGCACCATCTTATATAGGTTTATTTAAAACTTATCAATTGAATTCAGTTGATCTTCTTCCAAGGAGAGTGCTTTAGCACTATCAGCCTCACATTGTAAAGTTAAGCACTTGTAATCAGAATTAAATCCCAAGGTGATCAATAGATCATTCTCTTGTCTGTAGGACTGCAGTCATACAATTACATTTCATAGTTTTGTTAACTGAAAAATAGACTGCATTATGTTTTAGCAGGTTTAATTCCTATAATAATATACATAGCTAATATACTATAGCTGGAATGATAATTGTTATGGATGTTAACAATAATCACTCTAGTTACCGTATACGGAAGCTTTTGAGTGGAAGGCATCTTTTTTGCATCAGCTCAGTGTAAGAAGAAAAATACATTTTTCCCTTTTATATATGGGTTGATCCATTACATATTTGTAAAATTTATTCTTGCAGTGGTTAATGTTGTTATTCTGGGGCTGCTTTAACTAAACTGCCTGCTATGTTGGTGGAACTGCCATTTAGAATTCTGGGTGGGTTCTTATTTTTCAAAGCAGAGTCTTCAACAGACAACAAGGAAAGAATGTAACAGGGATGCTTTAATGTAGTTTCAAGGTGCAATATTGCTTTAAAATGTTGAAGGTTATAAATATCAGTTTAACAGTCAGAAGAGTAATGAGCATCACTTTGGTATGTCAGGGGAACTTAAGCAATCTCCAAAATGGTTCTGTTACCTGTTGTGATCTGTGATATCAGCTCCTATTTGTTTTCAGAGCTTGTTAAGATTAGAAAATCAAAACCAAAGCTTTTCGGATAAGTGTTTATTCTGGATTGTTTGATGTGGCTTAATTTCTCTAAGCCATCTGGTTGTTTTCTTGTAGATAAAAATGCATGGATATCTTTTAAAATACTTATATATGAAATAACATTAAGCCATTTGGTAATTTTGGCAGGAAAATGTGTAGATGTACTTTATTTCTCTACCTCCTTTGTCCCAAACTAAAATCCATTAAGCTCTAAATAAATATTTAAGGAATAAAATATAGCTTTCATAGATATAGGGCAACAGTTTTTAAAATAATGTCTTTGATGAAAACAAATATCCTTAAAATTTACAAGGATTTTTTTATAAAAGCAAAAGCTAATGGTCTGCTGGGTTCCATTAGGATTGCTTTGCTGCCATCTCGTGGTCCTCTGGATGTCTGCATTACAAATATATAGCCACAGCTTCCATTCGTCTCTGTGAAAAATAACTATATTCCCCTGTCAGGTCATTGGCTTCTTAGGCCACTGCCTTCTAATCAATAGTTGTTTATAATATTTAGAAGAAGTCAAGACTTTTAAAGTAGAATTGATATAAGTACCGTACCACTAATTCATCTCTTGTCTAGGGCCTCTGTATACTACATACATACATACACACATACATATGTGTGTGTATGTATGTATGTATGTATACACAAACACACACACACATACATACATACATACAGTGTTTTTTTTCTAAAAAAAAAAAAATGCCGGAACTCACACACGTCATATAATCTGCCTTGCCTACCCTATAAGGTTCCATCCAAAAAAGGTGCCAGAACTCCATTCCTGGCGTTCTATGAGAAAAAAAGCCCTGTACACATACCTACCTACCTACGTACGTACATACATACATACATACATACATACATACATACATACATACATACATACAGGTTTAGTGGTTAAAGTGCTGGACTAGGAGCAAGGAACCCAAGTTCTAATCCTTTTCTCAGGCATGGAGGCCAGATGATGATTTTGATCACTTAGTCCTAGAGTGAAATGTCAAAGAACATCTATCACTTACCCTCATGGTGGATTATAGTCCACAATCTTCAGTAAAGACATCTTCATCTCACATAAAGTTTGTTTGGGCTGATAAAATATCTTGACATTGATTGATGGATTCATTCATTAGTTGCCATCAAATCCGTGTTAACTCTTAGCATAGATAAATACACTTTCTCTGATCATCTGGCACCTAAGCTGGTATATCGAGTATTCCAGTGGTATCCCCATTGGCATGGTGAGGTCATCCACTTTTTTTTTCTACTTGGCCCAGCATTAGAGTCTTCTCTGGAATGGCTAGGTATTTGCAAAATAAACAGAATAATTTGAGCTTGATCATTTGTACCGTGAATAAGAACTTGGCTTGATTTGTTTGATAATACATGTGTTTGTTTTCTTAGCAGTCCATGATGTTTTTAAGCGTTTTCCCCAACACCAAATTTCAAGAGCATCTTTATTGTTTCCGTCTTGATTCTTCAAAGGCCAACATTCATTTTCTTAGAGTGTCATAGGGAATACCATTGTTTGGATTATTCTGATCTTTCTGTGTATAGTCATATCACAACATCCGAATATCTTTTCCAAGTTCTTCATGGTTATTCTATGAAATGCTAGTTGTGGCATATTTCTTGATTGTTTTTTTCCTTATACTCCTCCCATTTGTTTAATCTTCTTTGAATGAATTAGTATCTGCCCATTGGTGTTCTTCAGCACACCAGTTGGAACACCTGCCTACCATGATCAAGCAGCACAGAAGAACTTGGGAGGTTATATTTATATCTATATCTCCTATATTTCTATGTATCTATATCTACATGCTATACATTTACAGTATATCTATCTAAGCCAGTGGTTCTCAACCTTTTTAATGCCGCGACCCCCAACTGGTCGTAAGTTGAGGACTAAACCGGTCGTAAGTTGAGGACTAAACCGGTCGTAAGTCGAGGACTAAACCGGTCGTAAGTCGAGGACTTTCCCTGCCCGGGAGCGCCACACATGCGTGGTTCTGCCCCCTGCGCCAGCCAAGGCGTAGCTGGCAAGTGGCAGAGACGGAGCAGGCCGACCACCAGCTGGCCCAGCTCAAGGGAGGTAAGGTACCCGCTGGAAAAGGGGGAAAAATGGCGGACAGCCTTGCTTGGCGACCCCCGTGAAATGGTCGATCGACCCCAAATGGGGTCGCGACCCATAGGTTGAGAACCGCTGATCTAAGCTGTCTACTTATCTCTCTGTCTCTCTATCTGCTATACACATAAACATGTACATACACATATATGTATGTCACAGATATGTACATATATGCATATGTATTTATATATACACAAACATCACAAATATATAAACACACACATACACTAACACACATGTTAATATCTTCTTTCTAGTGTCTGCATTACTTAGGACAGCTTACAACAAGTAAAAGTAGTAAGTTAGGCTGATCTGATTACTTTTTATATGTAGCTATTATGTAATTCTAGTCTAACATTTGGGTCTTAGAATACCCATTATTCAAAGCAAAAACTTCATTAAAAATATTCGAAATGGTCCACTATGAATAATTGCATGTGGTCAGAATAGGAAAACAAGTGAGTGAACAGTTTTTTTGAACATAGTAATCTTTAAAATGATTAGATTGTAATACTAATAATATGATTTTACTATTTTAATATATTAAAGTACTTTAGGGAATGAAGCCAAAAAAGTACTTATCTTTGAATACTTTAAAAAATAAGCTATTTTGACTATACCATTTATGTTATAGATGATATCATACATATGCTTTGTTATTTTTCTTCAATTATCTCTATAATAGAACAAGATATAGTTGTCCTAGTAGGTTAGACTATGTACATTAATGCTTTTTTGACTTCTGTGTTAAGGTTCCTGTCCATGTTGGAGGAAGAGGTATACAGTCAAAATTCTCCTATCTGGGATCCAGATTTCATAACTTCCACTTCTCGAAGCAGCCAACTAGGCATCCAAACAGGTAAATATTGTAATGCAAGACAAGATGAAGATCAAAATAGATGCTATGTTAACTTTATTCAGTTAATGGACAGTCTTGTGCCACTTATAAATGCATAAAGATTGTCTTCTAAGTTAATTTGAATATCACTTGCACAGGCCTTTACAATTATGGTTCTTCTGTTTCATTTATTTTGTTTATTAAATTTATATGCCTTCCATCTCATTGTCGAGTGACTCTGCATAATTTATACGCATCATAAAAGCAAAGGCACACAAAATTAAATATTAAAATGAACAGAGATTTCCTAAGTTTTTAAAAAAAGAATACTACAGATTGGAGGCGGGATCTTTTTCCTAGTCAACTGACCACCTTCAACATTGAATTGTCCCATTAAGGTCCAAGGCCAATCGGCAGAGCCAAATTTTGAGGCTCTTACAGAAAGCAAAGAGGAGGGGCTGGAATGGGATAACTTGCAGTAGCCAAACATGGCACGGCCGGCTCACCACCACCAGCTCACTACTCAGGTCTCCTCTGCCAACTCACTGGCACCAAGTTGCTGCAGGGCAACTCCACATGGCCAATTTGCTGCGGGGACAACTTGCCATGGGCAGCCAGAGGAAGAACCGAGTGGACGAATAAGCGAGCAAGTGGGGAGAGTGAAGAATGGCAGCAGGGGGCTTCCCTTTTTCACATCCCTACTGTTGCCGCCATACTGAGCTTTAGGCCGAAGAAGCCGGGAATTGTGTCAGTGGATGGGTCAGGCGTCAGGTTGCTGCTGTCACGCCGAGCTCTGGGCTACAGAGGACAGGGACAGTAGTGGTGGGGTGTGTGAAAATGGGGTGCTTCTGCCCACTACTGCCTCCCCACTGCCCAACTTGCCCACTGAGTTTGGTGGCAGTGGCAGTGGGTGTAAAAATGGGAAGCCCCCATCCCCTCTGCTCTCTACCTGCTTGCTTACCTGCTAGGGCAGAGATCTCCAATCTTTTAGGCACCAAGGACCAGTTCCATGGAGAGAGGGGTGGACCAGAGGGGGCGTAATTTTGTGTGCTGCCTGCGTCTCGCGGATGTGGCTTGGCTTGTTTGTGCGGACCGGTTGCTAGCATGCCACGGTCTGGTACTGGTCCACGGACCAGGGATTGGGGACCCCTGCGCTAAGATTCCTCTCCACCTGTGGGAAGTTGTCCCCAGGACAAGTTGTCTTGCTGCAACTTAGTGGCCATGAGTTGGCTGCGCCAAAGTTTCCTAGACCCGTAGAGGTACATCATGTTTTGTTGTAATTTTGTCCAGGTAAAATCTTGTAGAGAGATATTGTTTAATAAGAACCAGGCAGGAGGTATGTAATTATATTTTTATTTAACACCTTCCTATAGAAGCAGAGAGACATTTAAATAAATTTACAAAATATCAACATGAGATACCAATAACAACAACAATATCAATAATAATAGTCCAACTCCCTGCTCAGGCAGGAAACCCTATACCATTTCAGACAAATGGTTGTCCAGTAAAAACTGCCAGTGTACATACAGCATGCCTCCATTTTGAACTTTGGATTTTTGGTTCTCTGAGCTTGGTTGTTTTCTTGCAGATTGTTTACTACCAGGCTAGGTAAACATCAGTATGTGGAAGCTGGGCTTTGTTGTTTATATGTGTAGTTTGCCTTGCCAATTTCAGTAGAGATGTGGCTTCCTCCTTAGTAGTTCCTTGATTAGGGCATTGTTTCCTCTCTAATAGTTAATTTCGTTCTGTTTCCTATATCAGGATTTTGGCTGCGGTGAAGATGTGTTCTAGGCTGTTTGTTTCACATCCAGGTTTTTGATTGTGTCTTTTAAATAATATGTAAAATGGACGTGTGTCTATGTGTCTATTGTTGGCTTATTTGGGTGAATGCCAAGCTTCTAGGAATTCCCTTGCATTTTTTATTTGGCTTGATCAATAACATTAACAGTTTCCCAGTTGAAACAAGGAGTGTTTGTCATGTCTTCTGATTGCTAGCAGATGTTCATGGAAAGCAGTCTGCTAGTCTTTTTTCTAACAGCCTACATAGTGGCTGTTACAGTGTTTACACTGTATGATGAGTCCAAATTTTCTTCTTTGGCTGCTTTGGAGGAATTTTGTGGCTGGGTGAGCTAGTGATGATGAGTGGTTATAGTAGTCTGTTTCATTGTCTCAAAAATGTTTTTGATGTATGATAATAGTTGAGCAATGTACTTAGCTAATTTTTGATCAAGTCGCTGGGTATCCATTGAAAGATGTTTTATAGGTGATCTGCTTCCCCCTTTTGATGTTCCAGGTTACTGCAGTGAGTATGTTTTAATAAAAGTGAGTTTCTAATTTGTCAGTGTTTCTTTGCTCATGAGGATATCCAGGAAGGATAGTGTGGTGCTGCCTTCTTTTGTAAACTTTATTTCTGTATTCCAGTATGTTGTTTATTGTCTCACATATCTTCTCTACTGCTCCTGTTTTAATATGACAGAGATGTAAGGAAGGAACAGCACCAGGTAAAGGGAAGATACAATAACAGAGACAAGGAACCATCAAGGAGGAAGCCGTGTGCCCACCAAGATTGGACACCTGCTATATATAAGCAGCTGTCAAATCCCATTCTCCCTTGCAGTGATAATGTTACCTAGCTTGGTAATACAGTATCTGCAAAACAAAAACAAAACCCAAGCTCAGAGAGCGTTAAGAACCAACAATTTTCAAAGTGCAATTGTTGGCCTGAAAAACTAATAGAGGCGGCTAAGATTATTTCTCTTAAATAAGCAACTATTTGTTAATAATAATAACAACACTAAATAAAATTTATGCAGCAGTTCCCTCAAGAACTTAAAACATTGCATTGTGATTCTGTAATTCTTCAGTTAAGAACTTTTTCGCCCGCTTTCATTAGGGTAATTCTCACATACTTGGGTTGCCTCAGATGTCTCAGGCATGACATCTGGAAAACAAACTACATTCCAAATGAAAACTGGACTAACTTCAAATGATAGAATGTAAAGACTTAGACTTATTTCTAAATTTTAGATAAAAGCAAGTAAAATGGTACCAGTAAACATTCAGATTGGCTAAAAAACCAGTTTACATGGAGAAATTGAATGTATTAATGCTGATATTGAAAACATAATGGATTTGATTTTAGACAAAATCACTAGACAAATGTCCCTTAGTCACCTTTAGCAAGGACTGGGCTAATAGGCCAGATTTGTTAGATAGTTCTTTTGTAAGGGTTGGTCATCTTTCAACATGTCTTATGAGCAAATGTTCAGATTTTGGGATTTCTGGTTAATGGTTTTAGATGAAAGAACCAGGAATTATTTCAGTTCAATCCTTATTGCAGTCATGGACCAGCACAAAAAAATTAAAGATTAAAATAAAGCAAAGCTGAGCAGAACCGAACAGCACAAAGTATAATAATATGTTAACGACTGACAATGAAATCAAGGGTAACCAAAGTCTGCCTAATTTTACAGACAATGTAACAAAACTTAGCTATGTTCAAAGAAACAGAATCATGCTGATCCAACAATAGTTTAATGTAAAAATGTTCAGAGTTTCCAGGATACTTAATCAGGTAAGGTGTTATGAGTTCGTGAGTCCCGGAGGGAGGGGAGGGGGACAAAATAGCAGGATATGAGCTGCAGTTTCAAGGGTCCTTTGTCCACAGGGGCACAGCTTTAGCTCATATGGAACTATTTTATATTGGCCCTCCAGAATTGCTGTGGGCAGAACGTTCCAGTGTGCTAAAGTTAATGTTCTCCAAAATTTAGAGACAGTTATACAATATAAATATATTGATAGTTGTGAGCGGGGGGAGGGGGTTCCTGTCTGTTTAAGAAAACATTATTGTGTAAAACAGACAAGTCCTGTTGAACTTCCTGGTTTTTAATATGTTGTTTAAATGCACTAAGTGCATGCTCATAGCCCATCATTAGGAACTGAGATGTTGGAGTTTTAATACAATAGCATTAATTCATGTTTAATTTATTCCTTATTCTCTATAAGGAAAGGGCTCAGACCTGTGCGGAAGAACAGTAGTTTCAGCTAATGTGTTACAATGCAGATCCATGCCCCAGTTTCTATCTTGAACAGGCCTGCCTCCCCCCCATAGAACTATCATGGAAACAAAGGGGGCTATCTGCAATATGGCCCTTAGAAATTTAGACTGCAAGTTTTCAAAAAAGGCAAAAGAGGAATAGGGTAGAGTCTCTGGTGAAAATAGCTTTGGTGCTGCTTGTATATACCATGCTCCTCTAGTGAAATAGAAAGATTGGATTGCAGTTACTGTTTTTTGAGCATTTTGTATAACATAGTTTTAGTGCATACTGCATTTTGTGGAACAATGGAAAATCATGCCCACATATTTGAATATTTTAACTTGTTCGATATTCTGGTCATTTATCCTCCAAGCATACTATTTAGGTCTCTTTGCAAAACATAGAATTTTCATTTTACTATGATTGATTTTGAAAGCTTCCTCTGGGCAATACCTGGTCAAGGCATTCAGGGTTCGTTTGAGTCCGGTTAGTGTTTGTGCCAGAAGTGCAATGTCATCTGCATATAAGAAGGTAGTAATATGCCTGTTTGCTAATTTTGGTGGGTGGTACTCTAATTGATTCATTTTGGTCATGAGTGACTTTATAAATTAAACAGAGGAGGGGGCTCTAGTACATACCTGCCTCACTCCTTTTTGAGTTGGAATCGTACTAGTATACTGGCCTTGCATACTACAACGGACTTTGAATCTGGAATTCTTATAGAGATTATGCATGAGCAAAAATAACCATCTATAATGGTGGTGTGCAGAAACTTTGTCCCAAGCCTTGTTCTGGGAACTAAGTCAAATGCAGATCTAAAATCAACAAATCCAGTGTACAGTGTAGAATCTGCTTTAGATGTGTATTTTTCAGCCAGATATTGAAATATAAGGGCGTGTCTATATATAGAGTATCCAGACCTAAAGCCTACTTGCTATATCAGCCAGCTCTGAATCAGTGCAATCAACTGATTTATTATCT